AGACTGCAGACCTCCTTGGTGAGCAGAGGAAAGGTGAGGGCTGGGATGGAAGTACTTGCCTTGCATGGGGATGGGGTGTGTTTGTGTGCCTCATAGGGGGGCCGGGTTGGAACCAATGATGGCCCTCTTTGGGGTAGATGGATGCTCTTTAAGACAGTGCGAGCTCTTGCTGGGGGTTAATCTGATGGCTAAAGTAGGATTCTAACCCTAGGTTTTCCACTGGTTTTTTTTGTTTCTTTCTCTGTGCTGTCCTAGGCATGAAAACAAGAGCTTTAACAGGAATTGCCCTCTTGTTCCTGATTCATACTGGTAGTTTTCTGACCAACAACAACTGTTTACCTTGTATTTTCAGCTCAGCCACCACCTCTGGCTCCAGCCTCCACTTGGACCACTTGCAAGATGAAGGAATTCAAGACCAAAATGGGAAAGGAGAAGAATGGTCGGATGGTGGTGAAACGGGGTGAGGTGGTGACAGTCCGGGTGCCAACCCACCCTGACGGGAAGCGTGTCTGCTGGGAGTTTGCAACAGATGACTATGATATTGGCTTTGGGGTCTATTTTGACTGGACTCCTGTCACCAGCACTGCCATTACTGTGCAGGTCAGTGAATCAAGTGACGAAGAAGATGAAGAGGAAGAGGAGGAGATTGAAGGTCAGTGCAGAACTTAAATGATTATTTTGTTGTGCTCATTGCTGTGGTATCCATGTCTTTATCAGGTGCTGTAATTTCCTTTCATTTTAGTTATTAACCCTGCATAGTGCCTTTGAAATGTTTTGAATTAAGTCATGGTGAGAAGAGGTTAGCTCTTCTTAGTTCAACATGTCTAAATGGCTAGTATTTCCATCCCAGGAAGATGCTCCAGCAATAATAAATGATGATTTCTTTCCATACTGTTTTCTAACTGATAACAGGATTGGAGTCTAAGACTCTTAAGTCAGCATTTGTTCCTTAACATAACAGACTGGGATGCTGCTGCAGCTCCTATGTTGTGGCGTGGGCAGGGCAGAATTTTTCTTCATTGTAGAATTAGCTTTTGCTGATTTTTTTCCCCCC